TCAAGGAAATTTTCTTTTTAAAAACGAATTGGGGGGCCAAAATGTAACATGTAACCTAGCACCTTAAACTTTTCGCTTTTTTCATAATTCACCACAAACTTTTAAGTTTTATAAATTAAATCTCAAATTTTCAACGATTATTTATCTTTTTAGATAAAATTACAAATTCTACCTCTTTAAGTACATGACTTACTAAAAATACTCATTTTAAAAAACTCTACCCTTTGACTAGTTTTAGTCTAAAAGGTAAAAAAAGGGGCTAATGTTAAGGAGTGTAAATAAAAAGGGTTCCATTTCTATGAATATTTTTAAAAATTGTCGATTTTTTTATATCTTACATTTTAAGTTTATTTAAAAAGTATACGTTCAGCTTTTGATTTAATCAAAAGTATACCTTTAGATTCTATTTAATATACAAATTCATACAAATATTTTTTTATTTGTTATTTTTAAGGGTACTTCGGTCATAATCAAGTATTAACCGATATAAGGTATGACTTTGTATATTAAATGAAATATGATGGTATACTTTTGATGAGATAAAAAACTAAAGGTATACTTTCTAATTAAACACAAAATGCAGGGTACGGAAAGGTAAATAACCCAACTTTCAAATTAGCAGCAATCAAAGCTCAATCTAATAGCTGATAGCGTTATCAAATTCATGTTTTAAGGTATGATCGCGTTTGACCTGATTTGAATCTAAAACCGCAAAGCATACAATAGTGCAACTGTGCAATTTATTCTTTTTGGGTTTGTTTATTTCCCAACTCAAGTTATGTAGCAAAAAAGTTGAATTTAAATTTTTATGAGAGACAACACTGTAACAATAGAACTTGAGTTGTGAAAAGAACAAGGCATTTAAAACTGGTACATTTCAACAAAAAAATAATAAATAAATGGATAAAAATAACATTTAACTAGTTTTAGTCTAAAAGATAAAAACATATGAGTTAATGTTAAGGGGTAAAAATAAAACGGGTTCCATTTCAAGAGATATTTTCAAAAATTATCGATCTTTTTATACCTTCAGCTTTTGATTTCATCAAAAGTATACTTTCAGATTCTATTTAACATACAATTTCATACCTTTTACCGATCAATGCTTCATTTTGATATAAAAAATGTCAAAAGTACCCTTAAATGCAAGAAAGATAAAATTTTAAAAAAACTTCAAAAAAATATATAAAAAGAGAAAATCTTCACAAAAAATTATTATTTTTTCACTTCTCGTATTCTTCTTTTAGAATTTTTTTAAGAGTTTTATTTGTTATTTTTAAGGTTACTTCGGTCATTTTTAAGGTTATAATCAAGTGTTGACCGATATAAAATATGACTCTATCTACTAAATGAAATATGAAGGTATACTATTAATGAGATAAAAAACTAAATGTATACTTTCTAATTAAACACAAAATGCAGGGTACAAAAAGGTAAATAACCCAACTTTCAAATTAGTAGCAATTAAAGCTCAATCTAATAGTTGATAACGTTATCAAATTCACATTTTATGGTATGATCGCTTTTGACATGATTTGAAACTAAAAATGAAAAAATTACAATAGTACAACTATGCAATTTATTCTTTTTGGGTATGTCTATTTCATAATTCAAGTTCTGTAGTAAAAAATTTGAATTCAAATTTTTATAAAAGAAAACACTATAATAATCAAATCATAGTTCGTGCTTCGCTATAATAATATTTTCTTTCATAAAAAATATATGTTAATTGAGAATAATTCTAAATTTATAAACCAAACGTTCACTTCACGTTTTACGGTATGATCGCGTTTGACATGATTTGAAACTAAAAATGAAAAAATTACAATAGTACAACTATACAATTTATTCTTTTTGGGTATATTTATTTCATAATTCGAGTTCTATAATAAAAAATGTTGAATTTAAATTTTTATAAAAAAAAACACTATATAATAATAAAACTTAAGTTGCGACTTAAATTGTGAAAAAAAAAAAAAACAAACCATTTAAAACTAATACCTTTTGAACAATAAATAAATAAAAATAGGGTAATAATGTGGCCGCTGGGATTCGAGCCCAGGTCTCCACGGCCACAACGTGGAATTCTCACCACTAAACTACAGCCACAAGGTTGGTCGAGCTTTTAGAATTTTTGTAATAACAGAACATTTACCATATACACACTTTCACTTTTTTTTTTTTTTTTTTTTTAAAGTGTATATTTTTTTGGGAGCTTTTATGGTAGGGCAGCCTTTTTGGCTCTACCAGTAGAGTACGTAAAATTAGCTTTGGCTTTGTAATCCAATGGTGTAAGGTAAAGGCGCATCATTGATAAAATACACCGGTCTTCACGGCATTTGTTTTCCCTCTGACTCATATTATATAATAGAGCTACTGCGAACAAAAGAAAAAAAAATAGAAAATAGAACAAGAACCCAATTACAGTAAATATAACCCAGAATTACCCTTCTAACAAACAAACAAAAAAAAAAACCAGAATTACCCGAGTTGCCTAAAGAAGAACAACATAATTGGCTTTGTGCTAGTACAACGACACTATTGGATCATTTTGTTTAAAAACGACTTGCGTTCTACTTAGATTTTCTTTTAAAAAAATTATTAAATGTTGATAGTTTCCAGTCAAGTGCTTGCCCAAAATCAAGTGCCTTTGGTTTCGTTTTCAAAAACGTTTTTCATGTTTTCCAAAAATAAAAAAATGAAAATGCTCTGGGGAAGGCGTTTGGCATGCATTTCTTGAAAAACAGAAAATGAAAACGTTTTTCATTTGTTTCCAAAAAGTGAGCAAACCTGAAAATGAGTTTGAGTCGTTTTCAGTTTCCATTTTCATTTTCTTTACCCGTCTCTTCTCCGACCCCCCCAACACCACTTGACTTGATAGTTTCCAGTCAAGTGCTTGGCCAAGATCGCTTGTTTGGTTTCGTTTTCAAAAACGTTTTTCACGTTTTCCAAAAACAAAAAAATGAAAATGCTCTGAGAAGGCGTTTGGCATGCATTTCTTGAAAAACAGAAAATGAAAACGTTTTTCATTTGTTTCCAAAAAGTGAGCAAAACTGAAAACGACTCTGAGTCGTTTTCAGTTTTCATTTTCATTTGCTTTGCCCGTCTCTTCTCCAACTGCCGACTGCCCCCCACTCTTCTCCGATCTCCCTCGACTCCCCCTCCCTCCGACCTCGCTGCCCCTAACCACCCCCCTCCTCATCCGATTTCCAAAATTATTCCTCCGAAACTCATTTCTTATGTATATAAATGTGTATTTAATATATTTAATATAATCACTTATTTAATATATTATTATTTTAAATATTATTTCATGTTTTTAAAAATTAAACCATGAAATACAATTTCAGTTTTTTTAAAATTGAAAACAATCTCATAATAAAACTACCAAACACATTTTCAGAAATGATTTTAAAATGAAAATAAAAAACAAAATTATTTTAGAACGAATTCCAAACGCACAAGTATCTCCCATTTTGTGCAGTAAAAGTTTCACCGGAGAATATGTGACAGATCATGTCGGTGCCGGAGAAGAAGGAACTCAGATTTGTGGGACGATAAAGTAAAAAGAGACGACTTGAACGAAAATAAGGCATTTTTCCGGAGAAAATGGGGCAGATCACATCGGCGTCAAAGAAAAAGCAACAAACCAAACTCTGTGCCGATGAAGTAATAGAAGACCAGATTAGCGGTGGGGCCCATGTCGCATACATCCACGATGGAGCATTTCTCTTTTTCTTTTTGAATTATTCAGTGAGTCCTACCGTAATTAATAAAGTCAGAGCACTCTCAATCTCATGCGAAAAAGTTAAAAATTTATATTAAAACAACGAAGTATTTTTAACCACGTGATTTCAAATGTGTGGTTAATGAATTTAAATTATAATTTAAATTTATTTTTTATTTATGTATATTTTTTTAAAAAATATAATAAAATGAATTATAAATTATAATTTAAATTATGGTATGAAAATTCATACTAAACACTCAAGTATAACTTGCTCTACTGATATTACATATTCACCTGACCTACCATAAATTGTGCCTATTTTTATGGGAAAAATATATTTTTAATAGAAACACATACATATATGTATATAAGTATGTGTACATATGTGTGTGTATGTATACATTTTAAATGACGCACGTTTTAAATGACGCATACGTTTTAAATGACGCATACATAAGGATACTTTTGCTAAATAAGTAACACTTTTCAAGTTTAAACTGCGTGTTTTCGCTCTTTACAAGAAAAGAAAATATTTTCAAGTAGAAAAGAAAACATAAATTCTAGGTGCAGCGGCGACAAGGATAAATGCGATTTTTTTTTTTTTTTTTTTTTGTTGCTAAATAAGGATAAAGGCGAATTTATAACTTATTTAATATACATATTTATTTAAATACGACCAGATAGAACAGATCGAATATCTACTTTCCAATTCAAGCAAGATAAATAAATTTAAAAAAAAGCTACTCTCGAAATCCAAATATTATACAATTTCCCATTTTTTTGTTTTGTTTTTATAGTTGAAACAAAAATAAATTCCAGCAGATTTCAAATATCTACTTTAAAATTAAATTTAAAAAAATCTACTTTCAAAACCCGAAGATAATACAATTCCCGAACTCGATCGTATAAGAGTTTTTTTTCTTCTTCTTTTGGATAACTGAAACAAAAATAAATATAGTAATACAATTCCCGAACTCGATCGTATAAGAGTTTTTTTTTTCTTCTTTTGGATAACTGAAACAAAAATAAAAATATAGTAATATCCGTCGTCAAAAGTATTTTTTTCCAACCATGTGAACATCACCAGAACTCGCAATAGCATCATTAGTTTGGATAAAGATTCACTTATAATTTACAAAATTGAGAATACAGGAAAGGACTTTAAGGATACGAGGATGAACACCTGAACAAGTTTAACCAAAAATCTTCTGGCACTTAAATTACATAAAAAAAAAAAAAAAAAAAAAAAACAAGTGTTTCCTTGCCGCAGTAAATTTTATATTTTCAAGGACATTTCTATTTCAATAAAACTTAAAAAAATAAAAAAATTGCTTTTGTCAGTCTATAATTTATCAGTTCCTTTGACATGGGGGCATAACAAAATCGCCTTGTCTCCAATGACAACGACAGTTAACTCAGAGGAACCCATTTGAGTTCTATGTGGTCCACATTTAGGTCCCACTCATCCCCCATCAAAACTTCGTTAACAATTTCTTGTATGAAGCAGCTCTGAACTTCCAAAAACTAAAGCTGCCCACAATCAAAGTTAGAGATTTTGCCAAAATCCATGATCTCTATAGCAATTATAAGTCTCAACCTTGTCAAGGGCTGGCCTTGGGAGGACTGGAAACTCCATTTTGCACTTGTTCCGGAGCAGAAGGTTTTTTAGGTGATTTTCTCAAGAAGCTTTTGACATATAGGGAACCGAAGACAACGACCTGATGAATCGACCAAAAGTAACGTTGTTAGGAATGATCATGTTCCGAATTATGCGTAAGAAAAGATTAAGGTTGAGACTTACTGCTCCAATCCACTGTTCCCAGCTGAGAGGATGGGAAAACCACATGCATGACAGCAGTATGCTCGCCAACTACACCACCAGAGAGAGAATAACAAGTCATCATTTGTAATCATCAAAAGCAAAGTCGATCCAAGAAACGGTAAAATAGTTGTCCTGAAGAGTTAAGAGAGTACCTGTCTTGTGGTCATTATCGTCGCGAATGTAAGAGCGCCAAATGTTCGGATGGTGTAAGAAATGAAGAACTGACTAGCTGTTGCAACCTGCAACAAACATCACTAGTAAATGATTGTTGTATGGGTGCTAGTCAATGGAATTATGAGGTAAAATAAAAAGATCACTCACAGTGGAAAGCAACATAATGTCAAGGAAACAATCATTATGACGAGCAACAAATTCTATTGCTGGCAGTAAATGGCCTTGTAATATTAGACCTAAAGAGTAGCATAAGAAAAATACACATTACGAAAGTGCAACAAGAACAAACTAAATAAGTTAAAAGACAAAAGGAAATGGCAATAAGGAGCTAACCGGTCAAGCTAAGAATACAAGAACACAGTGTTGTATAGAAAATTTGATTGTGTATCTCCATGTCGTAGCCTTTAAATAGTTTATCTTGGAATGTACTTGTAAAGCCATCAAACCTGTGAGACATACTTATGAAAATCTGATTGCAAGAAAACAATAATAAACTTTTTTTCAATTGAACATGTGCACAAAATTGACATTAGTCACAAAAAAATCTCCGCCTAGTTAAACTAAGGGTGAAAAAAAAAATGTAACTTTGTTTTTCATTCGTTAAACATACTGAAAATTTAACAATCAAGCTATAGGAGTTTAACTGGTCTAACAGACGAGAAGTCAACAACAAAGCACAAGACATGAAATTCAAGGGCACACCTTAATCAATTTAAATAAACTCGTAAATATCAAATCATAAAGAACAAAAGACATAATAATTTGTGACGAACTAATTTTTAATCAAATAATGAGAGATGAGTTTCGAGCTAATACCCAAGATAACCAACCATCAGTGAAACTCCCCAAACAGTATTCTCCCTTCCTCTACCATATGGACTAATCTCAGATCCTGCCTACAATGAGAATTACAACAAGATCAGTTCAGCACCTATGTGGGAGTGTTGCTTACAAGTTCTTCAGCATCATCAAGACATCAGCAAAATAATCCTTAAACAAGAGTCTCATCCATAAATATGGGACCTTTTAAAAAAAGCAATTTTTTTTTGCCCTTTGGAAAGTTATCTATCGACTTATGAAGGGACATACTTGTGAAGGTGCAGTTATTGTTGAAGCTTAGAAGTCCATGGAACTGTGGCCATATTTCATATAGCGGCATGGTCAGTGCAGTTACTCCAAAACATTACTTATTTCTTCCTAAAATAAAGAGATTGTAGAACTATCGAATAGAGATAGAAAGATAAAGCAAGCACAAACAGGTAGAGGGAATAGAAACCGCATCATTAGTGTGGAAGGCTAGGGGTTTTAGTCGATGTTGATTCATCATTTTTAAAATCTCTAATTCAAAACCAAACATGAAACTTGGGTTTCACTCCTTTATGATTGTGACAAGCAACCAAACTTTTGAATTTGCAACTGACAGAAGAGATTTCAGTAGTCTACAGGAAACTATTGAAATAGAGACAAATTTAATCACTCTTTTATCACAAACCATCATGCTTTACAAAAAGCATCAGAAATAATCCATGAACAATCATGGAAATCCTGTATTTAACAAACTATCATTCACAGCCAATTCAGTATCCATGACTCTACTCACTAGAACACTTGTTTCAAAACACTCTGGTTGTTTCAGCTGTTCTCACATGTATTAATATAAAAAGAAAATCAATCCATAATTATCAATTTTTTATGCTTTAAAAATATTCACAATTCAATATTCAATCATTCACATGGATGTGCCTGTGCCTGAGGCCCTGTTTGGAGAAGCAACGGGATTTCATTGAGATCAGAGACAAAGGCCATAATTATTACCGGATATAAAATAAATATTGAACAACCCACGGTCACTAGAAAAGCCAAAAAGTAGTCATGTCCCTTGTATTTCTTCTGCATGATTATAGTTCCCCATACCTGCACGTAGAAGAACATAACGTTAGCCAACCAATGAACACCTACTTAATACACTCCTTGTAAGAACAAAACAGTATCTTTCACAACAATGATGAAAGATACAAAATCACTGCACATCCAAAGCTTAGACTAACAAAAGTTTTTAATAACAAAAAGAAGTTACATAGCCGATATATACGAACTATATAGGCGAAAAGATCCAGCAACTACTCCAGTTCTTAATTTATTAGAGAAGCAAAAGTGCACGTTTGAAATAGTCTGAGACAAGCAAAACAATAGATAAAAGAAAGCAACTGGGCATGGTAACTGAACAGATCTCCTCATAGCTAGACAGTCAAATAAGAGTTTGGTCATGCAAAGTTTTAAAGTAACGACATATGCTGAAAAAGTAGTGGAAACGGTCAATCACATAGGTTTATCTTACCATAACAGGAATCATTTTTGCACATTTTGCTAGTGTCTGAACAGGGAAGCTGACATATTTGAGGGCCTAGAACAAAAACGTCTCATCACCGAAGTGTACCGAAAATATGGAACAACTCAACTAGCAATCTGCAAATAAATGTCCCTTACATAAGAGCACCAAAAGTGGAGACAGCTTTACCTCATATTGGCATGTTGTGGTTAATATGTTTGATACTGATACAAGGCAGTATTTATAAACTGGAGCAACGGGATGCAACGCCTTTTTACTTGCCTGAACAAGACAAGCACAAAGAGAATGAATGTTTTCAGACAAAAGTCTAGCAACAATTCACGCAGCCACACCAAAGAAATGATTTATAAATTGCGATAAGAATTTCAGTAAGAAAAGTTGTAATGCTTTGAATGAGACATACCAACAAAAAACAAGCAGAGACAGCAGAAGTTGAGATACGGTTACAGAAAACAAGAAATAGTGAGTATTTAAAGTATTCCTGGTTTATCCCATATGGATTTCTCATGATCTTCTCCTGCAAGAAACAAACTCCAAATTAACTCCGGGAAAAATAAACCAACTTGAACACCAAGCTCAAATTCAAATTAAAAAAAAAAAAAAAAAGGTATGGAACTTTAACAAATAAAACAGTATGAATAACAAAGGGGACCTTGGATTAAACAATACCATTGTTTTGAACTCTTATGAAACTTTAAAGACCAGAAATAACAAACAAAAAAAAAAAAAAAAAAAAAAAAAAAAAAAACAATGTCACGATAACAGAACGCTTTCCAATCAATCTCTCACTTTCATACAACTAACTGAAAATCCGAAATAATAAATGATAATAAAAAAAATCCTATTGACAAAACTAACTGCCGGTGAATGTGATTCAATAATTAGTCCTAAAACACAATGTTTCTCACTTTGCAGAACCCACCAAAAAAATAAAAAATAAAATAAAAAGATTTATAGGCACGAGAATAAATCATTCAAGCCAAAAACTGACAGGAGAGAAATCAGCATCTCAAACATCAATATCAACAAAAGGAATTCCCAGCTAGGAAAAAAAAAATTGTTGCTTTATTTTTTACCTGCAAAACACCATAAGTGACGAGGGTGGTCATGATTCCCGCGACAGCGAAAGCGCCTTTCCATAGCTTGTTCTCCTTCCAACCACCAGCCAACGACGGCTCCGCCATAGCCCCTTCCTTCCTCCACAATCCGCACGAAAACCGATAACTCCACCGCCCAAAAATCCTGGACAGAGAAAGAGGAGAAAAAGTCCGCGATTCTCTTCTCACGGTAAAGACAACGACCCCGAAACGACGCCGTCCAGCAGCAACGGCAGAGATGTCCGTACGCTCGCCGGAAAAAACCTCGCTGAAATTGGGGATCAGAGGAGGGAGGTGAAATAGTGAGTCGTTAAGGGGATACGTGGAGCAATAGGATTGGTGAGAGTGGCTAGAGTCTAGAGAGAGAAAGAGAGAGAGAGAGAGAGAGAGAGAGAGAGAGAGAATAAGAGCAGTCGGAGTTAGAGTCGCCACCAGAGTCTCGGCGGTTTTTTCTGAGTGCCCTTTTTTTTGGCTTTTGAACCCGCTTTCTCTCCCTAGACTCTCTACATCAGGGATTTGAAAAAAATTTAGAATAAATGAAAAGTGATGCCACGTCTACGGTCAGCGACCCCACGAGGGCCTGGCGTTGCTTCACCGGGATTAGTTGGTACGACAGGAGAGAGAGAGAGAAGAGGGGGACCAATTCAACACTTCAAACTTGATCATGCTTTACGCGGTTTATTATGATGCATGTACATGTCTCTTCACTTATGAATATCTTCTCCATCTATGCTGCGTTTAGCATTATTTTTCACTTTTAAAATCAATTTTTGTTTATAACAAAAGTTAATTTGTTCAGTAAAATTTTTTAAAAGTATTTTTTTAAAAATTTTTGTGCCGCCACCAGCTCAAAAATAATTTTAGTTTTTAAATTATACATAAATCACAATAATATAATTAATAAAATATTTATAATACTCATAATACTTATAATAAAATTTATAATTTATAATTTTTTCAATATAAAATTTAAACTCGTAATATAATATAATATAATAATACAATAATATAATATAACATAATATAATATAGTAGTA